CCTCCTCCTCCTGTGCTCACTTTGGAAGGGGAGGGGCGGCTTAATGTGACACCACCGATGAGGCCGGTTTCTCCTCGGACCAGACATGCTCTCTATCAGGACTCCTCTCACCATGTACCAAACACAACCTATATTTGAGCACCAGTATCGATTGATATTACTGACTGTTTGTAGGAGTCTGCACTGGATCTCAGATTGTCTAGGTTTTATTTTTTTATTTATTTATTATTTTATTAACATTGCATATGCGTAAAACAAAAGTCTAAGGTAATTCTTTAAAGGATGATGACATTTAGCTGAAAACTGCACTGTCACAAGAAGCCAGCCATTTTATAATTTGATTGGTCAGTATTCCTATATTTCTGCCAAATGTTTAAATGTATTTAAAAGTCATTTTAGACAAAACATCTTCTGCAGGGTAAGGGGCGGAATCTGTACCTGCAGAGACGTGGCCAGATTAGACCCGAGGAGAAGTTTGACTTTCCTCTGCTCTCGTCCTGGGAGTACGGGTGGAGGCTGGGTAACGCAGATTTTCATTCAGATTTTGAATTTGAACATTGTTGGAAACATTTGGGATAATGTTATCTAATCTAATACTTATTGATACATCATCATATTCTTGATGTTGTAGATCAATATTCTCTCCAGATTAATATTGTCTGTCTGGATCTACAGGTGACTACACTCTGGATTACAAAACTCCGTCCCGCGCCAAGTCGTCAGTGGTGAAGAGCACGTTCTACGCCAGGAACGGTGTGTTCAGCAGCCAATCAGCTACCGACACACTGGGTTGAGGTTCAGCCTTCAGACACCAGAGGTCTCTAATGAGAGTGCAGAACAAGGAACTTTTCAACATTAATGTGATAATATACACTCTGATTTTCTTTTAATGGCCATTAAGGCTAAATGTCTCCTCAGCTCATGTAATTTAGGAATTTGTAATAATAATATAATAGGGATTGTAATGATTAATCATTTGAGTGGTAATATATAACGAATTTGAAAGAGCAATAAATATTTATGACAAGCTTAGAGGGTCCAATCAGGTTCAACAGATAAATCCACCTGGCAATCCTTTACTTCCTATACCACTGTTTACGTTCCACACACCTGTAAGGTTAAGTGTCTGCCAACCTGACACTGTGCGCTGGATAATTAATGAACTCCTGGCCGGGTATTAGTCAGAAAGATATACACCTGATACGTCCATGTTTTTAAATAGTGAGCCACTGGAGGAAATGTTACACACCACAACATTAAATATTTTATATCTAATCAGTCACAGTTCCATTATGCTTTCTCACAGCAGTATAGTTTTTTGTGTTTCATTCTTGCTGTACAGATGTATATATGTTTTTACTATATAAAATATAAACTTATTTAATGTTTAAATAAGCTGATATTAACTTTTATTTATTTATTTTTGTCCATTCTGTGTTAACACATTATAAGCCTCCTCCATTGAGCCATTTGTCAACAAATCTCAATAAAGAGACCAAAACCAACATTGTGTTAATATATCTCTCAGTGTATTCGGACTTTACCTACTCTGCCTGGTTGGTCCCTGTAGTTTTTAGCAAACGTTTCTCCAACAGGAGGAAATAGTGAATTCGTCTGGGACTATTTTCAGCGGCGGATTAATCCACATTTCATCCTTGAGTCAGTATTTCCAGTGGCAATAGGACATTGTATTCAGGACTGAGTCAAAATAAACTGCAGTGTGTGTGTTCATGGTAATGGAGGTGGTGGTAACGTTTACTTGACATAGTAAAAGTAATAATATTACCAAAATAACACAGTAACATTGAGGTATCACTTCATAGTAATTTATTACTGTACCACTGGTCACCATTTGTTTATTAAAATGTACTATAACAATTTAATAAAGATGGTAGATTATTCACTGTGATGGATTTATTGTAGGCTACTGAAATAACAAAAAAAACGTATATATTTTGGAAAATGCAGTAATTTTAAAAAACATGATGCAAAACAATGCAGCAATGCCACGATTAAAGTCAATCTTTATTAATTTTGCTGACCTTTGTACAATTACAGAAAACACACATTTAATTGCTGTAAATGTCCCCAAAAAGTCTGTTTTATTGTGACGTGATTTTATGGCTTCAGGCGGTGGGGAAGATCAGGAAGCCTGTGAAGGTGTGGCTAGTGCTCGATTGGCTCGTCACTATGCTATTGTGCTTGGTTGCCTGCAGTGAGACCGTATCTCCGGCCTCCAGCGACAAGACTGCCGAGCCGGAAGTGACCAGGAAACCTTCAGATGCGTCACACAGCTCCATGTGACTGTCACTGCCCTTCACCAGTTTCAGGCACACCTAGATGAGCAAATACAGTCAGCACAAATATCCACAGTTCAATGTGAGTGAGACATTGTTATACACTGAAATGAGAAGGTTGAGACGTTGAATCTAGAAACGTAAAAAGGTTTCAGGACATGCATGGTGCATTACTTTTTTTCCCGGTGCATTTAAGTGTTTATTCTAGATAGTTGAGAGATGAGCAGGGAGAAAGAGATGCAACAAAGCTCCCTGGCTGGACTCAAACCACACACACTACTGTCCCCGCTCAAAAGTACTTCCCTACTGTTTGTCACCTTGCCTCCTTGCCACTCGTCGATGCGAGCGCCATCTCATCAAACATAATCAGATGCGTTTTGTATGGCGTTGTAGGAACAGGAGGTTTTCTGCAGGATTTTCCGACACTAAATCAGGTTTTCACCATTAGAAAGGATATGCATGTGTATGTGCATTTGTAGAACAGCCTATTGGGACGCCCTCTTTCTGAAAAGACCTGCAATTGGCCAGAGTCTCCTGTAACGGATGACATTTTTTAAAAGTTGGAAACAGAGCCAAGAATAAGTTCAAAAGTCTAGTTTTCTCTCAGACTACTTAAACTATGCTGAAAGGTTATTATGGTACCCCGGTTTTAAATACACCTCTTGGGTAAACATGATTTTCGACTACTGGTTAAAAGATTGAGTCTTGAAGACAAATGGAGGAAATTAAAAAGATGAGTCTGAGAAGAGGAACAGACACACACGTCAGTTGAATGAACTCTTCACACTCACTTTGCTCCTTGCTGAAACGTGGTAACTGAAGAAATAAATGCCTTTGACGACACATATGAAGGTTCCATTTGTCAGCGCTTCTCCTTGAAACTGTTGATCCAGGTCTGGCAAAATCTGTCTGTGGGAAGTTTGCACAAACACAGTTTCTATTGATTATTGATTGACTGTCTGTCATTAAAACTTTCATGAACATTTTTGTTTCTCTGTCTAATGTTTTGTTTTGTATTTTACAATTGATTGAAATATCTTAACAAATACTAGATTGCCAAGAAATTTGGTACAGGTTTCCACGGTGACCTTGACAATAAATCCTAATAACTTTAGTGATCTCTTGACTTGAGGAGGTTCATATTTGTAGCTGTGAGTTAAATTTCTCAATAAATATTGGATTGATTGCCATGATATTAGGTACAGACATGGATGTTGCCCTCAGGAGAAAACATTATCAGATATTAGCAAGCTATTTAGCTCAAAGCACTGCTGTACTCTGCTAAGTACAGTCTCACAGAACTGTACACTGTTATCTCTTCCTGTGTGTATGTTTGTGTCCTACAGTAGTTAGTTGGAGAAAGGTATGTCACAATGTAACTCCATGCATCCATCAAGCTGTATTTGTATCAAAATCAGAACAGTTGTGGGACTGTTAAGTTTCCAGGCTGCTCTCAATCAAATCTGATCAAACATGGCCACACAGTCCTTCTTTCAGAGTCTTTTCCAGACTTAGCTTTGACTGTTGCTTATTTAGTCATGAATATTTAAAAAAAAAAATAAAAAAAATAAAAACTAGCTATCTTATAAATCCTGTCCCTCAACCTCTCCTATCAAACAGCCAATACCACTGCTGCTTCTCTTACTGTGACTTTCAACTGTCTAACACTGACCCGTTAAAGTTCATGGCAGTATCGAGCTCTGGTGCCTGCGCTAGCATCCGTTTGTAGGAGAAGAAGGATTTCTGCTGGTTGGAAGGGTTGAAGGGCCTTCCCTTCTCCCCTGCCCGGCCTGCATAACCCACAGGCCCCGGAAGGCCCATGTCACCCTTCAGCCCAGGCCGTCCTGGGGGGCCCCGCGGACCCGGCATCCCCTTCTGGCCCTTGACAGGCTGAACTGCCTCACCTGTTCATACAGAGAAGCACTTACTGTCACAAGCTTGTTAGTGTGAATTGACACTAATGAAAGAAAATAAATGAATGATTTTAGCTGTAAATTGAAAGAAAAACTATAATAAAACTAGGCAGCACTCAACCAATTCTTTTGTAATAAGGAAATCTTTGTAAATTTTGCATCACGCTTTCTTACTGCAACTAAAGAAAACAAAGGAAACACAATCAAATGTACGAAGCATTTTCATCAATTTCTGAAAACAAAACACACTGCAAATGTAGAAAACACAAACAAATACAAAACACAGGGTGAACATGGTTCTTCATTCGCCTGTGTGCATGTGAATGTGTGTTCTTAAGGTGCAGTGTGTTGGGCTTATGAGTGAACATTCATAGGACACACGTGGTAGTAGTGAAAAAAAACTAACCACTAATAAGTCAATATATCCAAACTTCCCAAGTTAAAAGGTCCAGTGTGTAGATTTGTGTTTTTCATGCCTTTTGCTGCCTCAGTAGTTTATCCTTCACGCTTGGAAGAGGAGGGTTAAGTCAGGGAACTGTGCTCTGCAGTTGTATGGCTACATGTAAGTACACACTGGACTTTTAACTAAACTTATTTAAAGTCGGCTCATGAGTTGAGAAAATCTACCAGCTGAGTGAAGTTCACTGAACATGAGGAAACAAGGTCTACAAACTTATATAAATAATAAAAACTTACATAAAGTTTAATGAACAACTGCTTAGTCGCACTGACACGTTAATCAGATTTACATTTTCTAAAAACAAAAATCAGGGACAGAATGAGGAAAAACATGTGAACAGAATGTGTATCTGATGTCTTTATGTCCAGTATGAGCTCACCAGGGTCTCCCTTCTCTCCCTTGAGACCGTCTTTGCCATTGGGTCCATGGGTACCTGGTATCCCAGGAATCCCCGGGGTTCCACAGGATTGTGTGACAACCGGGTCGATGTGAAGCAAGAGTAGAAACACTGCAGTACTGCAGCTCAGCCACTGGGGGGCCTGAATGAACACACAAACAGATACACTGACAAACTCGTTTTTGTCATTTAAGAGGACTTATCATCATTTAGGAGACTTTAACCACAACCAGTACATGTTTAAACCAAACCATAACAATAATCTTTAACCAAACTAGATTTTTTCAGTGTAGCTGACTCAATGTTCTTGAGTGTAATCATTGTAATTAGAAATTAGAACAGTAAAATCCACACAAAATAACAAGCTGACACACATTATACAAATGATAAAAAGAGCTGACATTGTGGAGGTTCAAGATAAATATCTGATAATATTTATATGAAAATGACATAGAATACAATGCATGGTTGAAATTAAATTTAACTTCAAGTTAAATGAATGCCTAAATTCCTGCATTTATACGTAAGATAATAAAATAAATAATACGTTACTTTGTTTAAAGGTGAAACATAATGACAGGAATTTTAGATTTAACATCAAGAAACATGAAACCATCAAATTCTGTATCAACAATGCTTCTGCCTGATTATGTGATTTTCTCTATCTCTCTGTCTATAAATTATTTTGCTCTTTGGTTTCGTAGGACCCAAAAGTCTCACCATTTGCAGGTAATACAGTCACTCGTCCTGATAAGTTGATGGAGAGCGGAGTCGAAGAGCTGTCCTGCTTCACAGTGACGGCAGCAGCTCAGTCAGGAAAAAACAGGAAGTGAAACGATTAAAGAGTCTACCAGCGCTACTCTATTGGTGTTCATAATAATCATTTTTAGGATACAATACTGACTGAAGTAGGGACCTAGAAAAAACAGTTTGCTGCTTTCACTGGTGGAATGAAACAAAGTACAGACCGTATTGCTTCTCCACTACGTTGTTTGAGGCAGATACACTTTTACTGCAACATATTTATCTGACAGCTAGAGAAGGAGTTACTTTGTAATAAACATATGCATACTCATTGGTTAAACTACATAAACAGTATACAAAATAATTCAAATTAGCTCCACCTTTACCAACTACAACAGTAAAATGCTAATGAATGCATCTGTAATAATAAACAAATGATTTAATATATCACTGTGAGTACATTTTGCTGTTACATATTTTTATTTAAGTGACATTTTGAAGCCAGGACTTCGGTAGTTCTGCACTTTGAACTTGACTTGAAATATAAAGTAACATAAAATGAAAATACTTTACTTAAATACAGTAGCCTACTATATAGTGCTTAATTACTTTCCACCACTGACCACAGCTATTTCTTTTTAAATCCTCTTTTGTTCATCACCCCTTCTGTCTGTCTTTTGGTCTTTTTTCTCTGCTGTATATTTGTTGCATTGGAGTCAATGCCTTTTCCTGTAAATCTGATATTATTTTATTGCATTTATCTGACAAAGCAAATGACCCATCAGAGGAAGTGAAACCGTTTAACAAGAAGTCAGGAAAAACTCCACCTGATGAAAAACTGATGATGAAGCATTGTTTAATGTATCTGATTAAAAAATAAAATCTTTCCTCAAGATTAACATATTGTTCTGTTTTTCTCTGAACTTCCTCTTTGTTATTGCCTGTTTTCCTGGCAGTGTGCTTCTGATGGTCTGGATGTCAGTATCTGTTCCACAAAATATTGAATTTCCTCAACAGTATCCATCAACAAAGAGCTGATTTATAGTTATAATAATTACATCCTGTAAAATATGCTAGTTTGTCATTTTCTGTCTTTTTCAGATCCTCTTTCCATTTCTTCCTCCAATGTTTTGTTTTCTATTCATGCATGTTTGGATCTACAATGTAAAAAGATTTTTTTCAATCTGTGATTAACTGTGTTTTGGGGTCATTGCAGATATTGGTCTGGATGACCCTGTCATGACAAGCAAATTAATGTGATCGTGTTTTAATGTCACCCAAGGTAAAACCTATAATCTTTAGGATTTTCATAAAATAAAAACCCAATTTTGATAATATCTGAAGGTCTGTATTATTTTAAATATTACCATAGCCATTTCATGTACATAACATTTTGTAATTCAAAGTTCAAGGTTCATTTAATTCATTTAAAACATTTAAAATTAATTTAAAACACAGGGCTGCACAACAACTACCTTTATGTAACATAAGCTACATTTGTACAATTTAATTACCTAGTAGATTTTAGTATTAGTGGTGTAGTATGCCAGAAATGTATTGTGCAGAAATGTTTAAAGAAGGTTAAAGGCAGACTGTAATCTTGATATACTTGAAGATATATGTTATAATTGTGCAAGCTGAGTTATGGAACAGGAATTGAACTCAAATGCAAACTTGAAGTCAGAGTAGGAGCCGTTGCAAAAAGGTGGTGAAATTGGACTTCAATGGACATCAAAATGATCATACAAAATACTAAATCCAATAAATCAAGAAGAAAGGCCGTAGAATGCTGAAGAAACAGAAGGGAACAATCTAAAAGCTTCACATATGAACAAGGATAAACTCATAAGAAACACAAATACACAGGTGAGGAAAAGGATAACAAGACACAGGTGAAAGTAATCAGGGCAGGACGGACAATCAAAACTGGAGGGAAAGCAGACAAAGACAGAAGGTAAAGCCAAACAAGACACAAGAGGAGGAATATTACAAAATAAAGCATGAAATAACCATGACAACAAATGCATTCAAGACTGTATCATCTGCATAGAAATGTATGTGATAAGTCTGTGTTGGGATGATTAATGGCACTGAGTAATGTGGATAGTATTATTAGTAGTATGTCATCATTGTGCAGGCAAGAAACACAGTCTCACCTGCTGTCAGTCATTAGTTCAGGAGCAGCTCAACCAGTATGCAATGCTTCATGGATAAAAAAGGTCTTGCATCTGAAATGCATCGAAGCTGGCTTTCACTTCATTCTGACCTGAACAGGAATCTTAACTGTATTACCATTAATTTTTTTTATTATATCAAGTGTTAGATAATTTGGGAGGTTAAAAAATTTATTTTATTACAATTAACAATTAATTTTTGGAAAAGTTATCAAAATGTCTGACCCTACCTATGGTACCAGCTATCAAAATAAACGTGATAAAGTGTTATAAAAATGTTTGCAGTGGCAAAATTTGGAATTAGGTCACAGAATATGATGGGTGACAATAAGGTTTAACACCTGATCTTTAATTATAAGATCATAGATGATGATTATCAGATACTGAAGTCATAATTACAAGGTAAATGCATTGCAGGGTGTACATACATACAAATCCAAATCAATATGGCATGGGTTTTCATAATGCTCTACAGATGTCACTTTTCAAGAGCCAGAAAATATTTAAATACGCTTCCCGTTCAACCTGAAACAATGTAAAACTTGAAATCGTCAGAGCTCAGTACTGTTGGTGAATTTATACCATTCATACATATATCAAAGAAACTCTCGTTTCAAGTTGTTTATTTATCATGTGCACAACAATCACATTGCAGTTGTTCTGGTTCTCCCAACAATGCTCATACAATATGCATAAAAAGAATGTGTCAATAGGTTTGTTTTTAAATGTATTGTTTAATTCATTTCAGTTTACACACACCTGCTTATTCATCTTAAAATGATAGTGTGTATACCTTTTTGTAGCATGTGACAGTTTATTATTATTATTAATATTGTAAAAATATCCTTAATCTTCCTCATTTGACAGATCTCTCTTTTGAAAATAGATTTTAATCACAATAAGATTTTAACTAGTAAAATAAAGGAAAAAGAAATGTGTAAATGAAAAGCAACATACTTTTTTTATGGTCAGTGTAAACGAAAGGAAGACATTATTTTGTCAGTAGTTGCAGACTTGAAGTGTTGCCGTAAAACTATAATAAGGCTGTTTTGTATTTCCAGTCCTGTGATTCAGTGAGGATGCAGCAGGAAGCCAGAGAAGATGCTGTAACCAGCAGGTCTTCCTGTCATCCCTCTGTAGTCTTTAGTCTCCAGCCAAACCTCCTGATTCCTCGACAGGTAGACCGCCACGCTGCCCGCAGTCGTCTGGAATCAGTAATGGTTACATTTTTACACCAGAGAAGGGTACTGTAATTTTTTTTTTTTTTTTACTGACGTATTATTTGGTGGCAGAATAATAAGTAAAATAAATCTGTAGTATTGTTTATTGTGTGTACCTGTCTCTTGCCACGGCGATGATCACAGAATGATGTCACGAGTGTTTGGTCCACCTTCATCAGCACACACAGTTTGTCCTCTAAAGAAGCGTGGAACACAAAGTAGTACGTTCCTGGGACCCGACACCTACAACACACAAACATAATTAATTATCTTAAAGTGGATTTTTTCCATTCCTATCTGGTTCGACAGCTTGATCACACTGGAAACCGAAAGGCCTTCATTTTGTTTGGCTTGTTTATAAATTGCAGACCAATCAGGGAATCGTTTTTAGCAAGGGGCTGCAATTGTCGTTCTGTCCATTGCTCCTTTACTTTGATCCAGACTTATATCTTAACAATTATTGGGTGGATTTTATTACATTTTAGACAGACATTGATGGTCCTGAATCCTACTGACTTTGGTGATCTTCTGAATTTTCCTGCAGCATGACCAGGAGGTTCACATTTGTAGTTATATATAACTCTCAACTAATGGATGGACTGTTTGGTTCAAACACTCATGTTCCCTCAGGGTGAACTGAACTTCGGAAATACTATTGCTATATGCTATTAGCACCTATTTCAGTTTTTTGCGCAAGTCTGTCAATTTGTGGCCATGTTGACAGCTGACTTGTCTTGTTTATAGCAGGTTGGAGGTGAAACAAGTGCGTAAAAGCAGCTTTTTAATTAAATGACCTGTCTCTGACACACGGAGCAGATTAGGAAGTCTTCATTTGGAAAACCCCAAATAATCTGATGTTCAATCGTTTGCATCACTTCCAGTTTGGCTGTCTAATTTATACTGACCTTAACCAAAATAAGAAACACCCTGACCCCAAAATGTGTTTATGGATCATACAAATTTGTAGTAAAACTAACATGATTGGTTTCAGTAAGATATGATAAGAAAACAGGTGGTTTTATCACCTGAAGCGCCCTGTCTCTGTTTGGTAGTCATTGTTGATATTGGTAATGACGCTGGTGAACCGAATGATGCTGGCTTTGTCCGGGTATTGTTCAGTTCCTCTGGCCACACTGAAGGCTGCCTGCTGCTGGACGCCAATAGTCCTGCAGCCACAGAAATAACACAGAGTGATACTCAGAGCTGAAGGTGTGGTAAAAAATTGTGGATAAATCCAAAACCATGACAAACACCATGATATAATGCAAAAAACAACACAGCAAGTAATGTAACTAACGAGACAGCAGACCAGTTCCAGACAGTGATACTCAGAACTCTTCTGCTATAGCTAACATTACAACAACAGTATGTCTTTGGAAACTTGAAAGTAAGCTAAATGTCATTTAATGTTACCTGACATAAATCCTAGCCGGAATAACATGATAGTGTTGTGTGGCTCGGTCTGATTGTTTGTTTAGAATCACATTACCTAGAATGTCCCACAACTTATGAAGCATATATGCAGCATGTAAGCATCAGTTTAGTTAATAAAATTACCACAAAGGGCAGTCATCTCCCTTGAGGTGTGTGGGGCCATTGAACCCCATTTGTCCAGTCAGTAATCTGGCCTTGATGCTCGGTTGGGCTTGGCAGGAATTGTTAACTATTCTTTTAATGACCATCAATAACTACTCTGCTGTTCTCATTAGAACACCTGTGCCTTGCTCAATTACATACCCTGGTTCTCCTGGTTCTCCATGAGGTCCGGCAACCCCTGGAATGCCTGGGTCCCCTGGGTCTCCGCTCTGGCCTCGTTTACCAGAGAATCCTATCAGCCCTGGGTCCCCCTTGTCCCCCTTCTGAAACCCAAGGCCAACGTGCCCCACTGTTCCTGTAAACGGCAACAACAGTTTGGCATAATAACTACACTGACCTCCTTTGTTTGATAGTATAGTATAGAATAGTTGAACACTATGGGAAATACACTTAATAGTTTTTTTAGAGTTAGATTAGAAGACCAATATCAATCTCCGTCCGTAGAAATGCCACAGCTGGAATCAAACACGTTGTACACCTGTTTTTTCATGTAAAGTACAAAAATAAGTCACAGTTTTTTAAATTTAATTTTCCATTCCATCCAAGTTTGCTGTAAAAAATGTTGCATCACATTTACAATGCAAACATAATGGCAGGTTTGAATATGATCTGCACAAACTTGTGGATCAGTATGTTGGATACCTGGGTCTCCTTTGTCTCCTTTCCCTCCGTCCCGACCGTCTCTGCCAGGCATCCCAGGAATACCTGAGGATGGAAAGATGGATAAATAATAAATAAAAAATAAAAGAAAGATACACACATATACATACAAACATGCATGCACAATGCACATACCTGGCATTCCTGGCATCCCTGTTGCTGGGCAGCTCTCCATGGCAACCAGCTGGTGTATGGCCAGTGAGAGCAGGGTGCTGATTATGAGGAAACAATGCTGGGGCATGATGGAGAACCTGACATGGAGAAAAAGAGACAAGGAAAGATGAGAGGAGTTGAAGAATTGGGAAGATTAAACAAGAAATGAGAAGGTAGAAGGACGGATAAGATAAAAAGACAGGAGACAAGGAAGAAAGATACAAATCAAAGAAAGATGGGAAGAAAAGAGAAGGAGAGGAGACGGAGAGGAGACAAGGACAGAATGAAGGAGGCCAGGAGCAAGGAGGGAAGAACAGGATAGGAAATTGGAAGATTAGATTAGAAGGGAAGGAAAGGAAGTGAGGAAAGAACAGAGGTGAGGAGAAATGACAAAAAGAGGAGATGAAAAAAGGGAAAAGGAAGATGAAATGAGGCAAAGACAGGAAGAGTAAGGGAGAGGAGACAAGGAGGGAATGGATGAGATGAGGGAGGGGGAAAAGGAAAGGAAACAATGCAAAGGAAAGACAAAAAAGAGACAGAAGAGAATAGAAATATGAGGACAGGAGGGAAGGGTGGTGGAGAAAAAAGGAAATGATGAGGACACAAGGAAAGAGGAGAGGGGGAAAGACATTGGTGCAGGAGGAATGGGGAGATGAAAGGAGAGGAGACAAGGAGGTAAGGAAAGAGGAATATAGAGGAATTGGAGACGCAGAGGAGACAAGGAGGAGAGAGGCGAAAAAGCAAAACTGACAGTTTGGTTCAATCCCCTGTAAAATGCACCACAATGCCTTTGAGCAACTGAGTCAACTGACAGAAAGTATTATTCAATTTAACAAAGGAAATGTGAGGTGACATTATACCGATCAAATATGTCCTCTTTTAATATAAAATAATAAACAATCATAATAATAATGAAAGAACAAACTTGAAGATCATCTTGTAAACAAAAACAGATTCTCTTTTGCAAATAGATTACTTTAATTTAGTAAACTATAATTAACAGATGTGGAGAATAAATGTAGGATATGTATAAAACTCACCCGAGAGAACAAACTTACAGATAAATGAAACCCACAGCGGTGAGTTTATAGCAAACTGAAGAGAAGCTCCGAGTCCTGCAGCAGCCAGAGGAGGAAGCCGACACAAAACCAAAGTTTCAGCAGCTCTTACGTCAGAAAATATTTTCTGCGCCGACTGTATGTAGTTCTGCAATTCTGGGAGGTTACTGAGAGTTGGAAGGACGCAGAGACAGAGAGAGATAATGAAATAGATTATAATATATATGTATATGTATATATATATATATATATGAGTTGGGGAAGGGTCACTTTAAAAATTAAATATATAATCATTTTAATTTTAATAATTTAATATAGACAAAAATTACACTTGGACAGGGGTGTCCACCCACATTTGGCCATGTAGGATACATTTACTGCTGGAACAAATTCTCATTTTGTTAAATTGGAAGCCAAAAAACCCACAACCTTCAACCTTGCTGAAAGACGTGATCTTACAGTTTGAAACTCCCATGCCAATAAAGCCCTTTTGAACTGAATTGAACTGGATTTTCAATTCAACTGGATGAATCCATGACTAGTAATTGATAACATGGAGCTATATATGGTGATATCTTTGAACTGCACTCCTTTATTCATTGTTTTTGACTTGTATTTAAAAAAGTTTTCCAATAAACAGACGCTATAGAAAAGAAAAGAATGGTGATATTCTATATTTTACTATCACCAAGTTCAATAAAAAAAGCTAAAACAACCGCCGTACAATACACTGTTCTGCTGCTTAACACACTAAAAAGCATCAAATGTGCTTTAACAAATCCACAATTTCCTCCTATTTGAGTAATACAGTGCTCAGCTGTTTTGGGGAATGTGCTGTTTTTATGATTTACATCTTCAGCAGGAACCAGTGGGCTTTGAGCTGAGAACCACAGAGAGGAAGTCAGAAAGACAGAAAGTACTGAGAGATGAACTAACACATTGCTGGTGCCGGTCTTTGGATTCCTACTAGAACAACAGAGAGTTTCTCTCTCAGCGTCTACGCCCTTTAACTCCAACCACCCCAGCTCAACTTCTCAACTCATGACAGGATGTGTTCTTCCAAGAAGCAGGTTTCAGCAATTTAATCAAAACACACAAACACACACACACACACACACACACACACAATAATGGAAGGAAGAAGTCAACTGAGGATTTACCAAAGTGGCAAAAGTTTACCAAAAAAAAGAAGTGCAAAAACCAACAATGTTTCACTTCCATAATCTTCAGAGGGGTCAAACGAGGCTGAAACTACAAAAAAGTACTGTATAAATTTAGGGAAACATTTTTGTGTAACTTTATGGATGTTTAAGATAGAAAAATTACATTCAACCTGTAACAGATGGCTATTAACATCTGATGTGGTTAGCCTAGCTTAGCACAGAGACTAGATGCAGGGGGAAACTGCTAGCCTAGCTCTGTCGATCTTCAGACCTGACTCTGGGTAGGACAGCAAATACATCCTTCTCCTAGTCAGTCTTTCTTATTCATCTTTCCTTCTCAGTTGTTCAATTCTGTCTTAACATAAGATAACATAAGGAAGTGAGTAATTATGACCATAGAAGCACAATATATAAAATATTAATACATACATACTGTAAATGTATTCCACATTATAGGAACAGTCCCCTCCCATAAAAGAATAAACATAGACAAATGGAAGCTACATCCCCACAATAAATGCTAATATGTATAAATAATCAGTGCACATTATGCATTAATAGATTTAATGGAAATTAAACTAATGGTATATGTGTTAAATGAATGAATGTGATATGTATGTACATGTCTTGCGTCTTATGTTTTGTGTATGTGACAATATCAATGTTTCATATTAGCCTATATACTATCCTATACAATGAGGTATTATTATGTATGTTTGTTGGCATAAGATTGTAAGCAAAACCTCATGGTGGAAAGCACAAATTTAAATAAAGTTAATTATAAAAAAAAAAAAAACAGAATGGAAATTGCTGCAAATACAGTTGCTGCTGCTGTCTGTCCCCCTAGAAACCGTACAAACAGGTTGAGTGGATTTGTTTTGAACTGTGGAATCAACGATCTGTCGCATACTCTCTTACTCGTCAGGTCTGCCAGCATGCAACTACAGACTCCAGGTTGATTACTTTGTAACTTGAGTACTTCTAAACTAAAATAATTGTGTGTTGTTTTGACGTCTGTTAAACCTTCAAACCCATTAATCTCTTACTCCAACCTGGATTTTTCATTTCATTTCAAAACGCCACCCACCATTGCAGCCCCCTGCACTGTATTAACACTATTGTGACATTATGATGACATTAAAACAACAACGGTGGGAAAAAATTTTTTTTTGTGGATCAGTCTCTAAAAAGTGTGTAATAAAACTAAACGTATTGTGCCTTTAGTCTTAAGAAACATGCCCACACTCAATACTCAAAACTTTCTTTTTAATAGTTGCACTCACAAACAAAGACAACAACCAAAGAAGGTTTACATGAGTTAATATGAAGGAAACAAACTGGTGAAATCCAAAGTTACCTGTGGGGTCACATTCAAACCGAACAAGCATTAAAGTTTACAAATATTACTCTATTATGATCTATTATGAGTTATGGTAAAAACATTTTAGATTCTAAATTCATAAAGGCGTGCAGTATCAGGTTTTCAGCGCTGACTCAATGCTGAGTGTACAACTGAACTTTATTATTGATGTGCGAAGAGCAGGAAGCCACTGAAGATGATCTGTTTTGCGCGTGTGTCTTTCGTATCCACAGTTGTCTGCGTGTCATGGAAGGACTCAAGCCAAACCCTCTGCTGGGCTCTCAGCTCTAAGACCACGCCGCCCGACAGCACCTGAAACACAGCACAGCAAATCACAGCCAGGCCTCATGACACAACTCAGCTGTTCTGAGCTGTAAACCATCTGAGATCCCAAAGCAGACAAATCTCAGGATACAACAATGAGCAAGTCTGAAGATGTGTACAGTATGTACGCCACAGAGACTGGAAGATGTCAAGGGAAATTTCAGAGCTTCGGGACACAACCTTTATTATCATTATTGTCATTTCACAATATTGTTAGTGGACAACCCTGCCATTTCTGATAAATTGTAAAAGTGTATTGGGAAGTTTGGAAGATACTTGATTTGACTAACTCAGACTGCTGAAGGACTGTGGGCTTTGTCCCCAATCAAATACACAGGAAGCATATTAGGAAGTGATCTTTTGTTGGCCAGTATGAATAGAGTCAAAAGCTGTTTTAACATACAGAAAAAGTGCTTGCACATGTTGGAATTGTTGGGTCTCTAAATAATTATATAAGCAGCACAATCTAGACCTTTTAGAGCTCTAAATGAAAAGTGTCCTGACTCCTGTTATAGTTAGATGTAAAAAATATTCGCAAAACATAACTAATTCTTGGGGTCAAATGCGCTTGTCAGAGTATATCCACTAAAAGTTACTGTTTTTGCCACTGAGATGCTCAGATTGTTATTCTAAGCATCTGACAAAATAATATAAAGGATCCCTACAGAGACAGACCTTCTGTTTAACCATAAACTGCTGTTGTCACAACAACTTCATTCAAACATGACAGAAACATAATACAACTCATCAAAATCTGTTCTTTTAGTCCCTCTACTGTTCGTCTTTTATGTTATTAGTTTAATGTTTTGTTGATCCATCCACATACCCCAACCTCCTCCTCACCCACACTTTGTGATTCTATAACATCACCTGAATCTATTTTATTTATGTATTTTACACTTGAACATAAATATATGTTGTTTTCAGGTGCTTGCAGTGTTTCTGTTGTTCTTCTTGAGAGTGCAGTGTCAAATTTGAAGAATAAGGTCTAGGAATTTGATTTTCCCTCCTTGACATCTCCTAGGCTCAGTGGTACTCAGCACTGAAACTGACCTGATCATAGTTCCTGTTCTTGTTGTAATCACAGAATCCCAGCTTGTTGAGTAGAGCCTCACTGGCTATATGCAGACATATGCTGGTCTAAAAAACACAAAACAACAGCATAACTGTGATGCAGTTTGATAATAGAGCTGTAGGTCCAGATTACTTATCTCAGACAACTTTAAAAGTCTCTCTGCTGACTTTTACTTAAATGTGTTACCTTGGCCGCAGAGTGGAAGGTGAAGTAATAAACACCAGGTACTCTGCAGGTGAAGTAACCTGTGGCTGCGTTGAAGTCCCCAGGTGTGTTGACCACAGTAATCTGGTAGGTTACTATCTGGTATGCAAACACACATGCAAAGTTGAATAGTAAGCTGACACAACCTGAAAAATTTTAAAGAACACAGGTAAAGGACAATTGTAAAGTAACAGTTTCTTTTGTAATTTCTATGAAAAGTTTAGACCATTTCTGGAAAGACCTACTTAGGTCTGCACAGGCAGAGTTTTAGTCAAAGACAGATAAAACTGGATTGGAATTGGATGGCTAGATACCTCTAAAGATTATCCATTATTCCAGCATTACAAAAAGACAGAAGAGCTCATTTTATTTGTAAATATACTGCAGATTTTAAATTATTTCAGGGTGAAACAGCGGAAAGACAGAGAGTGGAGATGGAACGACAGACTGAACCTGGTTGTAGCGAGGATAACTGTCATCATTTCTCATCACTGAGAAAGCTGAACGGGCCTGCTGAGGGGAGTGTCCTCCTAAGAACAGAAAGGACACACACACACACACACACACACACACACAGTGTTGTGTCCCAGTGCAGATGTGCAATGGTTTAAAAATCCATAATATAAAGAGTAATAATTGGCCCTGTCCATCATGTTGTTAGAGTTTTTTGTTGTATTTTTTGTTAAACTAAGCTAACTCCTTTTTATTTATTTCATTTGTTTGCTAGAACCAGCAGTTTTATTTTATTATCTGTCCTGTCATATTTTTTGTCGTAAATGAGTTTAGAAAAATATATGCTGTGATACATACACTGTATTTTAGCATGATATAAACTGTAGGCTGTAGGATCGCGCCATTACCTTGACCAAGGCTCCTCCCGTCAGGGCCGGGGGGACCAGGGGTACCCGGGCGACCCCCTGCTCCCAGTTCTCCACGGAACCCTTTAGGACCCATAACCCCTTGCATGCCCCGACTCCCCATCTCTCCCTTCAGCCTCAGGAGGACGTCTGGATCCACCGGACCGCTGGACATCACAGCTGGAGACAAACAGATGAATGATTAAACATCACCTTTTAAAGGACCACTGTGTCAGATTCAGTAGCATCTAGTGGTGAAGTTGCAGATTGCAACCATTTGAATACAGCTCAGCCTTCTTAAGTGTTAAGGAGAAACTACGGTGGCTGTGAAACTTGAAACTTGAAACTGTGAAAAGCCCGAAAGACTTCAATTTAGAGCCAATGTTGGGTTTGTCCGTTCTGGGCTACTGTAGAAAAAAACATTTGTATATCCAAGAGCCTTTTACCTGGCTCTCCTTTCTCGCCCTTCACTCCAGGCCATCCATCCCTGCCGGGGATTCCGTCCTCTCCAGCTCGGCCATCCGTTCCTCTGCAGCTCACGTCACATTGGCCGGTCGTCAGAAGCAAGGCAACGCCCACCAGAACCGCCAGCCCATAATAACCTCCCATGGTCCAAAACACTGGATTTAACAGTCAATGATATTTGAAAGAAGAAGAAGGTGATGATTAAGGTCAAAACCAAATGTAAATTATTTGTTCACTGATGTCATCCTACATGTACTGTGAATTTAAGCAACCATTCTACCACTGATACCTTCCACATCTTGGGTTGTAGACTTTAGACTTAATATATATATAGTTTTTGAAAGTGTGGAGAAGGATTTAAAACATAATTTAAAGCACACATTTTACAAGAGAATATATTTAGACAGTTAACTGAACAGACAAAGTCTAATTAGGTTAATGGGGGTAATTGTGCAGGACTAATGCTTGCTTTGCTCCTGATTCAAATATAATAACATCTTTCAAAAAATGTAAATGTAAAATTTAAGAAATAGTAAGAGTAACTAAATTACAGATTGCAGAGGAAGAGTGTACAGCAAAAGGTGATGTATTAAACATTACATAAATTAAAGTCACGGAAAAAACAAAATGTGAAAGCTGATAGAATTATTTCAGTTCTGAGTTTTTTAATTATTTGTCCAACAAGGTGCAAACTGAGGCAAAAGGTTGTAAATTATGCACCCAAAAAACCCCAGAATTCATTCACACACTTAACAACAATGTAAAAATACAAAGCATGTCAGTGTTAAGACCCAACATCCATTATTAATCAGATGTATAATAATAATACTAAAATCACGTTTCACATGTATTTTCATCCTTTTAGACAAACATTACGTTCAGTTAATTTCTATGAAACAACTTATATTTATATATATATATATAGATATAATCGATCACAGTGACATTTAGTTACCTTTATCTTTCTATCTTTATCAAATTATAGTTAAGTTATGCTGATTTACTGTTGATACTGTTGTAAAGATGACAGAACAGCATAAACAATATTGAATAAAAATGCATTTTTCCTATCAGCAGTATTTCAGCACACGCTTTCTTACTTACCAGCCGAGTTTTATGTCTCACCAGCGAAGGTTTCGAGCTGCAATGAAAAGGACGGGATTTCCTCTTTTGGTGAACAGATCAAGATTTCTTATTAGACTGAAGGCACACACACACACACAC